AGTCACCAACTACAATGACCACAGGTAGATAAATCCATGAAGATGAGAAGAAACCAGTACAAAAAGGATGAAAACACCAAAAACCAGAATGCTTCTCCTCCTCCAAGAGATCATAACTCCTCACCTGCAAAAGAACAAAGCAGGATGGAGGATGAGTCTGATGAACTGACAGAAACAGGCTTCAGAAGGTAAACTAAGATAAGAACCTTGAAAAAAGGTTAGATGAAATGCTAACAAGAATACACAGCTAAAAGAAGAATATAAATGACTCTATGAAGCTGAAAAACACAATATGAGAACTTCAAGATGCATACACAATTTCAATAGCTGAATTAACCAAGCAGAAGAAAGGATATCAGAGATTGAAGATCAACTCAATGAAATAAAACAAGAAGGCAAGATTAGAGAAAAAAGAGTGAAAAGAAATGAACAAAGCCTCCAAGAAATTTGGGCTTATGTGAAAAGACCTAATCTATATTTGATAGGTGTACCTGAATGTGATGGAAAGAATGAATCCAAGATGGAAAACACTCCTCAGGATATTATCCAGGAGAACATCCTCAACTTAGCAAGGCAGACCAACATTCAAATTCAGGAAATACAGAGAACAACACAGACATATTCCTCAAGAAGAACAACCCCAAGGCACGTAATCATCAGAATCACCAGGGTTGAAATGAAGAAAAACATACTAAGGGCAGCCAGAGAGAAAGGTTGGGTTACCCACAAAGGGAAGCCCATTAGACTCACAGTGGATCTCTTGGCAGAAATCCTCTAAGCAAGAAGAGTGGAGCCAATATTCAATATCCTTGAAGAAAATAACTTTCAACCTAGCCATTGACACAATGAAGAAACTGCATCAATTAATGGGCAAAACAATCAGCTAGTATCAAAATGGCAAGACTGAATTTACACTTAACAATATTAAGCTTAAATGCAAATAGGCTAAATGTCCCAATCAAAAGACACAGACTGGCAAATTGGATAAAAAGTCAAGACCCATTGGTGTGCTGTATACTGGAAACCCATCTCACATGCAGGGATACACATAGGCTCAAAATAAAGGGATGGGGAAAGATTTATCAAGCAAATGGAGAGGGAAAAAAAAGCAGGAGTTGCAATCCTAGCCTCTGATAAAATGGACTTTAAACCAAGAAAAATCAATAGAAGGGCATTACATAATGGTAAAAGGATCAATGCAATGAGAAGAGCTAACAATGTTAAATATATACCACCCAATACAGGAGAATATCAACAAGACAGAATATTAACAAGGATATCCAGGACTTGAACTCAAATCTAGATCAAGCAGATCCAACAGGCATCTACAGAACTCCCCACCCCAAATCCACAGAATATACATTCTTCTTAGCACCACATCCCACCTACTCTAAAATTGACCATATAATTGGAAGTAAATCTCTCCTCAGCAAAGGCAAACGAATGGAAATCATAACAAACAGTCTCTCAGAACACAGTACAATCAAATTAGAACTCAGAATTAAAAACGTAACTCAGAACTGCACAACTTCATGGAAACTGAACAACTGACTCTTTAATATGGACTGGATAAACAATGAAATGAAGGCAGAAATAAAGATGTTCTTTGAAACCAATGAGAATGAAGACACAACGTACCAGAATATCTGGGACACATTGAAAGCACTATCTAGAGGGAAATTTATAGCAATAAATGCCCAAACAAGAAGTGAGGAAAGATCTAAATTCGACACCCTATCATCAAAATTGAAAGAGCTAGAGGAGCAAGATCAAAAAAACCTCAAAACCTAGCAGAAGACAGGAAATAACTAAGATCAGAGCAGAACTTAAGGAGATAGAGACACAAAAAACCCTTTTAAAAAATCAATAAATCCAGGGGCTGGTTTTTTTAAAAGATCAACAATATATAGGGAGCACTAGCCAGCTTAATAAAAAAGAAAAGAGAGAAGAATCAAATAGATGCAATAAAAAATAATAAAGGGGATCTCAACACCGATTCCACAGAAATGCAAACTACCATCAGACATTACTACAAACAACTCTATGCACACAAACCAGTAAATCTGGAAGAAATGGATAAATTCCCGGACACTTGCACCCTCCCAACCCTAAAACAGGAAGAAGGTGAAACCCTGAATAGACCAATAACAAGGGCTCTAGTTGAGGCAGCAATTAATAGCCTACCAACTAAAAAAGGCCCAGTCCCAGAAGTGTTCACAGCCGAATTCTACCTGACGTACTAAGAGGAGCTGGTACCATTCCTTCTGAAACTATTCCAAACGATGCAAAAAGAGGGAATCCTCCTCAACTCATTTTATGAGACCAACATCATCCTGATACCAAAACCCACCAGAGACTGAACAAAAAAAGAAAACTACAGGCCAATATTCATGATCAACATAGACGCAAAAATCTTCAAAAATACTGGCAAACCAATTGCAACAGCACATTGAAAAGCTTATCCATCATGATCAAGTAGGCTTCATACTGGGAATTCAAGGCTGGTTCAACATACGCAAGTCTGTTAATGTAATCCACTACATAAAAGAACCAAAGACGAAAACCCCATGATTATCTCAATAGATGCAGAGAAGGCCTTCAACAAAATTAAACAACTCTTTATGCTAAAAACTTTCAATAAACTTGGTACCAATGCAACATACCTCAAAATAATAAAAGCTATCTACAACAAAACCACAGCCAATATCATACTGAAAAACTGGAAGCATTCCCTCTGAAATATGGCACTTCTTTTAACACTCCTATTCAATATAGTATTGCAAGTTCTAGCAAGCGCAATCAAGCAAGAAAAAGAAATAAAGGGAATTCAATTAGAAAAGGAGGAAGCCAAATTGTCCCTATTTGCAGATGACATGATTGTATATTTAGAAGATCCCATAATCTCAGCCCAAAATCTCCTTAACTGATAAACAACTTCAGGAAAGTCTCAGGATACAAAAATCAATGTGCAACAATCACAAACATTCCTAAACACCAATAATAGACTAACAGAGAGCCAAATCAAGAGTGAACTCCCAATCACAACTGAAACAAAAAGAATAAAATATCTAGGAATACAACTAACAAAGGATGTAAAGGACCTCTTCAAGGAGAACTATGAACCACTGTTCAAGGAAATAAGAGAGGATACAAACAGATGGAAAAACATTCCATGCTTATGGTTAGGAAGAATCAAGACCATCAAAATGGTCATACTGCCCAAAGTAATTTATAGATTCAATGCTATCCCCAACAAGCTACCAATAACCCTCTTCACAGAACTGGAAAAAATCACCTTAAACTTCATGTGGAACCAAAAGAGAGCCCGCATAGCCAAGACAATTCTAAGCAAAAGGAACAGCGCTGGAGGCATCACACTGCCAGAATTAAAACTATACTACAAGGCTACAGTAATCAAAACAGTATGGTACTGGTACCAAAACAGAGATATAGATCAATGGAATGGAACAGAGGCCTTTGAAGCAATGCTGCACATCTACAACCATCTGACCTTTGACAAACCTCACAAAAACAAGCAATGGGGAAAGAATTTCCTATTTAATAAATAGTGTTGGGAAAACTGGATAGCCATGTACAGAAAACAGAAACTGGACCCCTTCCTGACACCTTACACTAAAATTAACTGTAGATGAATTAAAGACAAACATAAGACCTAACACTATAAAAACCCTAGAAGAAAACCTAGGCAAAATCATTCAAGACATAAGCATAGGCAAGGACTTCATGACCGAAACACCAAAAGCATTGGCAACAAAAGCCAAAATAGACAAATGGGACCTAATCAAACTCCACAGTTTCTGTGTGGCAAAAGAAACAGTCAGAGTGAATCAGCAACCAACAGAATGGGAAAAGATTTTTGCAGTCTACCCATCTGACAAAGGGTTGATATCCAGAATTTAGAAAGAACTAAAACAGATTTACAAGAAAAAAACAAACAAGCCCATTCAAAAGTGGGTGAGGGATAAGAACAGATACTTTACAAAAGAAGACATACATGAGGCCAACAAATGTATGAAAAAAATGCTCATCACCACTGGTCATTAGAGAAATGCAAATCAAAACCATTGAAATACCATCTCATGCCAGTTAGAATGGTGATCATTAAAAAATCTGGAGACAACAGATGCTGGAGAGGATGTGGAGAAATAGGAATGCTTTTACACTGTTGGTGGGAGTGTAAATTAGTTCAACCATTGTGGAAGACAGTGTGGCGATTCCTCAAGGACCTAGATATAGAAATTCCATTTGACCCAGCAACCCCATTACTGGGTATATATCCAAAGGATTATAAATTGTTCTATTATAAAGACACATGCACAGATATGTTCATTGTGGCACTGTTTACAATAGCAAAGACCTGGAACTAACCCAAATGCCCATCAATGATAGACTGTATAAGGTAAATGTGGCACATATACAGCATGGAATACTATGCATCCATAAAAAATGATGAGTTCAGGACATGGATGAATCTGGAAGCCATCATTCTCAGCAAAGTGACCCAAGAACAGAAAATCAAACACTGCATGTTCTCACTCGTAGGCAGGTGTTAAACAATGAGAACACATAGACACAGGGAGGGGAGCATTACACACTGGGGTCTGTTGAGGTAGGTTGGGGGAGGGACAGCAGTGGGTTGGGAGGTTGGGGAGGGATAACATCTAGAAAAATGCCAGATATGGATGACAGGGGGATGGAGGCAGCAAACCACATTCCCGTGTATGTACCTATGCAACAATCTTGCATGATCTGCACATGCACTCCAGAACCTATAGTACAATTAAAAATACATGTATATAAATAAAATAAAGTAAAGCAATGGCAGGATTTGAGAGGATTTACTCCCATTTTGAAAGAAGTTCTACCATGGTAAAATTCTATTAAACTCTGTCACATGCTACAGAGAAATCTTGTATGAAAGGAAGAGTTAATTGATGTGACAAACTTTATAATTGTCTTATTTTAAGAAATTGCCGCCAGGACGTGCGAAAAGCGACGGCGCCGCACGGTGCGGCGCAGCTCCGGCTCGCCTTTCCCCCTTGCTGGGCGAGAGGTGTCTATGGGGCGCCCGCTGCCGCCGCCGCTACGGCCACCGTCACCGCCGCCGGGTGCTGTCTCTATGGCGAGGAGGAGGAGGAGAAGCGCGAGCTCAGCGACACAAGTACATAAATAAAGAAAACAGTATTTTATGAAACAAATCTTCAATCAAGTATAACATTTTGATGCTTGGCATCTAGACTCCTTTGTGCCCTCAGTATGCCAGCAGCAACTGTAGATCATAGCCAAAGAATTTGTGAAGTTGGGGCTTGCAACTTGGATGAAGAGATGAAGAAAATTCGTCAAGTTATCCGAAAATATAATTACGTTGCTATGGACACCGAATTTCCAGGTGTGGTTGCAAGACCCATTGGAGAATTCAGGAGCAATGCTGACTATCAATACCAACTACTGCGGTGTAATGTAGACTTGTTAAAGATAATTCAGCTAGGACTGACATTTATGAATGAGCAAGGAGAATGCCCTCCAGGAACTTCAACATGGCAGTTTAATTTTAAATTTAATTTGACGGAGGACATGTATGCCCAGGACTCTATAGAGCTACTAACAACATCTGGTATTCAGTTTAAAAAACATGAGGAAGAAGGAATTGAGACCCAGTACTTCGCAGAACTTCTTATGACTTCAGGAGTGGTCCTCTGTGAAGGGGTCAAATGGTTGTCATTTCACAGCGGTTACGACTTTGGCTATTTAATCAAAATCCTGACCAACTCTAACTTGCCTGAAGAAGAACTTGACTTCTTTGAGATCCTTAGATTGTTTTTTCCTGTCATTTATGATGTGAAGTACCTCATGAAGAGCTGCAAAAATCTCAAAGGTGGATTTCAGGAGGTGGCAGAACAGTTAGAGCTGGAACGGATAGGACCACAACATCAGGCAGGATCTGATGCATTGCTCACAGGAATGGCGTTTTTCAAAATGAGAGAAATGTCCTTTGAAGATCATATTGATGATGCCAAATATTGTGGTCATTTGTATGGCCTTGGTTCTGGTTCATCCTATGTACAGAATGGCACAGGGAATGCATATGAAGAGGAAGCCAACAAGCAGTCATGACATGAAATAGTCCTTTTATTTTTATTTCGAGCTACACACATGCTTGTATATAGGTTTTATCTCTGGTTGAATCCCTTGAACAAGAGACAGTACCTTTCCCCTGCCCCTTTCATGGCCCATTTTATTGTCTACCTTTCAGTACTAAGTATGACCGTTCCTATCTCAGATCTTAATAAAAAAAATGCATTCAGGTTAAATCTGGCCTTAATATACTTGTTAGAAAGCGTGTGTGACAGAGAGTGGGGAAAGCTACGTCACTGAATATTTTGATAAACTTTACCTACTTGAGTTGGATTTATTTTTCCCTTTTCCTAAATTAACTAGCACTGACTGTAATTTATTTCCCTGTTTCATGTCTCTCCCTTTCATTCTGCAGGAGTTTTAGCTATTTGAGATTATGGACCATCAATTTTGCACTTTAGAGAGTGATTCTGACTCAAAACCTCTGTTTTATCAGAAATTGTTTTTTTCTTGATCTTAGCTGGAAAAATGACCATCTGCCAACTTTACACAGTATTTACTTGGTTTTGACCCACAGACTGTAGCACATTCATTGTGCTGTCAGTTCAACAAGATGAAAAAAAAAAAAAGATAAGGAACTACTGAAGAGCTTAGTAACTGCTGTTTCTGTACGTAGTGTTTAATCTTCCAAGCACATCTAGTGTCTGTCAGTTTCTAATTGGCATTGTAGGCAGCTCTGTGACTGAAGAATTTCCAAACCAGCTTTACACCCTTCAGGAAAAATCCCTTGTGATTGGATGTTCATTATCTGCCAGTAAACTGGTACTCAAGATGTTGAAGCTACAGTTATTTTATGATAGCACACTTCCCTTGATCTGCTTATTTTTATTCCATCACTGTTTACCCTTGTTTTTTATTTTGTAGCCATACTTATTATACTATTGATTTGTTGGTTACACAAATCAATTTTATTAAAATGCAAAGATAACAAGTCTTTAAGTGTATTTTGTACCAAATTAAATTAGAAAACAAAAATTGTGCTTGCTACAAAAGTAAATAATGGAGAGATTTGGTACAAAACAACAAAACACTATATATATATATATATATATATATATATATATATATATATACACACACACACACACACACACACATATATATAGCTAATAAAACTACCTGAGGAGTGTAATGCTTGTTTATTTTTTTGTGTATATCTTTGCAAACTATTTTATATATATTGACAAAAGAGACTGTGAAATATTTAGTCATGCAGAATATGTGACCAGACCAGAGAATGTGTAGGAAGACTTTTCAGTAATCATTAACTCTACCTTGAAATGATGGACTACAAGTTATAATGTGTTACCTACACTTACAATCAGAAATATTAGCAAATCTCCAAATGTTACATTGGTTTGTCTCCCTTGTACATTCTTTATTCATAATATTACAGTGCTGTAACTGGGTGGTCCTTTTTAAACAAAACATTATTTGCAAAACAGAGGGTATTATTTGTTTTTAAAGCTTTTGTAAATAAAGGCTTCAAAAATGTTTTCTTATAAAAAAAAAAAAAAAGAAATTGCCATGCCACCCTAGCCTTCACCAACTACCACCCTGATCAGTCAGCAGCCATCCACATGGAGGCAAGATCTCTACCTGTAAAAGGATAGTGTAAAACTCACCAGTAAAACTCACTGAAGGCTCAGATGATCATGAGAATTTTTTAGCAATATACTATATTTAATTAAGATATGAACATTATTTTCTTAGACATAATGTTATTCTACATTAACAGACTACAGCATAGTGTAAATATAACTTTTACATGTACTTGGAAACAAAAAACTTTGTGTGACTCACTTTATTGCAATATTTGCTTTATTGTGGTGGTCTGGAACCAAACCCATAATATCTCCAAGGTATACCTATAAACAAGAAGTGTCAATATAATTTTGTGAGAGAACAATAATGAAGAAATACAATCCTGACAGATATTAAAGCATACTATCAAGCTTGTAATTAAAATAGTACCATATTAAACATGATTGTACAGCAAGACCAATAGAACAGAAGGGATATTTCGGTAACTAAGTTCATATGGTATCCTAACTCTTTTGTTGCCATTTCTACAATGTTTATAGCATCTTCACCAAGAGTTAATTCCATCTGAAGTAACCACTTTTTCTGCTTACTCATAAGAAGGAACTCCTCATTTGTTCAGGTTTTTTGTTGTTGTTGTTCAGGTTTTATCATGGCATTTCAGCAATTCAGTCAACAATTCAGGCTCTACTTCTAATTCTTTTGTGGTTTACACCATATTTGCAGTTACTTCCTCTACGGAAGTTTTGAAACCCTCCAAGTCATCCATGAAGGTTTAAATTAACTTATTCTAACCTCCTTTTAACGTTGATATCATGAAATCCTCCCATGGATTACACATAGGCATCTTGAATGGTGAATATTTTCCAGAAAGTTTTTAATTTACTTAGCCCAGTTTTATTGGAAGAATTGCCCTCTGTGGCAGCTATGGCCTTACAAAATCTATTTCTTAAATAAGAAGACTTGAAAGTTGAAATTATTCCTTGATATATGGGCTGCAAAGTGAATTTTGCATTAGCAGGCATGAAAACATTAATCTTCTTGTACGTCTCCATCCAAGCTCTTATAAATGAGCAGTAATATTTTGAAAGAAGTCTTCTCCTGAGCAGTAGGTCTCAACAGCAGGCTTCAAATATTTAGTAAACCATTCTGTAAATAGATATGCTATCATCCAGGCTAAGTTGTTTTCTTTATAGAGAGCAGGCAGAGTAGAGTTAGCATGATCCTTAAGGGCACTAGGATTTTCAGAATGGTAAATAAGGACTGGCTTCAATTTAAAGTCAACAGCTGCATTATCCCCTACCAAAAGAGTCAGTCTGTCCTTCAAAACTTTGGAACTTGGCATTCACTTCTCCTCTCTAGCTATGAAAGTCTTCAATGGCATCTTCTTCCAATACAAGACTGTTTTGTCTACATTGAAATATCTGTTGTTTAGTGTAGCCATCTTAATCACTGATCTTAGCAAAATACTTACTGTAGTTTTCACATAAGCGCTAGCTCCTTCACTGTATACTTTTATGTATAAAGATAGATTCTTTCCTTAAACCTCATGAAACGAAACAACATTTGCTAGCTTTAAACTTTTCTGCTGCAGTGTCCTTGCATCTCTTTGCTTTAATAGAATTAAAGAGAATTATGGCCTTAATCTTAAGTAAACTTTGATGTAATGGAATCTGTGGCTGATTTGATCTTTAACCAGACTAATAAAATGTTTTCCATGTCAGCAGTATGGCTGTTTCTCTTTCTTATCATTCATATGTTCACTAGAGTAACACTTTAAGTTTTCTTCAATAATCTTTTATTTACACTCCTAACTTGGCTAACTGATGCTAGAGACCTCACTTTCAGTCTAACATGGCTTTCAGTGTGCCTTCCTTACTAAGCTTAATCATTTCTAGCTTTTGATTTAAAATTAGAGACATGCAACTCTTCCTTTCACTTAAACAGGAAGGGCATTGTAGGGTTATTCATTGGCCTAATTTCAATATTGTTACATTTCAAGAAATAGGGATGTTCAAGGAGAAGGAAAAAGACAGAAGCGTGGTCACTTGGTGGAGCAATCAGAACATACACAACATCTACCTCTTAAGTTCAGTCTCATAAGGCACAATTTGTGGCCCTTCAAATCAATTACAAAACAATAGCAACAATAAATATCATTGGTAAGAGGTCACTATAACAAATATAACAGTAATAAAAGTTTGAAATATTGTATGAATTATCAAAATGTGACACAGAGACATTAAGTAAACACAATGCTATTTTAAAAATGACCTCAATAGACTTTCTTTAGTAGGGTTGCTACAAACCTTTAATTTGCAAAGTGCAATAAAGCCAAGTGCAATTAAAAAAAAAAAAAAAAAAAAAAAAAACTGACTCAAGAACAGAAAATCAAACACCACAGGTTCTCACTCATAGGTGGGTGTTGAACAATGAGAACACATGGACACAGGGAGGGGAGCATCACACACTGGGGTCTGTTGGGGGGAAATAGGGGAGGGACAGTGGGGGATGGGGAGTTGGGGAGAGATAGCATGGGGAGAAATGCCAGATATAGGTGATGGGGAGGAAGGCAGTAGATCACACTGCCATGTGTGTACCTATGCACAATCTTACATATTCTTCACACGTACCCCAAAACCTAAAATGCAATTAAAAAAAGATACATCTGTATTTTATTTTGATGTAAAATCTTCACCTTACCTAGCTTTGAAAAAATATTAATGATTAATAATAATATTTTATTGAGTGTATTGTTCTATTTTATTATTAGTGCTAAGCTCTTAATGTGCCTAATTTTAAAAATTTATTTATTATACTTTAAGTTCTGGGGTACATGTGCAGAATGTGAAGGTTTGTTACACAGGTATACACATGCCATGGTGGTTTGCTGAAATATTTTTGTGTTGCACTTATAAATTACTTTAGAAACTAATTAATTTAAAAAATAATTAACTAAAACTATTACAAAGTTGAGTTTTCTTATCCAGGAACATAGAATCACTTCACAGTGGCATAAGTTTTCATGCAACTCACAAGTGTCTTACATTTTTCTTCAACCCTTGTCTCCCTCCTACTTAGTAGGCCCCAGTGTCCATTGTTGCCATATTTGAGTCCATGAGTGAGAACATGCAGTATCTGGTTTGCTGTTCCTGTGTTAATTCACTTAGGATGATGGCCTCCAGCTGCATTCATGTTGCTGCAAGAACAGGATTTCATTCTTTCTGTGTGGAATTACATGGCATATATGTACCATGTTTTCTTTATCCAATATACTACTGATGGGCATCTAGGTGGATTCCATGTCTTTGCTATTGTTTTTACTGCTGCATTGAACATCTGAGTGCATGTGTCTTTTTGGTAGAATAACTTATTTTCTTTCCAATATACACCCAGTAATGGGATTACAGAGTTGAATGGTAGTTCTGTTTTAAGTGTTTGAAAAATCTCCACACTGCTTTCCACAGTGACCGAACTAATTTACATTCCAACCAACAGTGTGTAAGCATTCACTTTTCTCTGAAGCCTTGTCAGCATCTGCTGTTTTTTGACTTTTTAAAAATAGCCATTCTGATTGGTGTGAGATGGTATTGCATTTTAGTTTGATTTGTATTTTAGT